ACACACACACACACACAGACTCAACACACACACACACACAGTCACTCACACACACAGTCACACAGACTCACACAGTCACTCACACAGTCACACAGTCACTCACACACACAGTCACTCACACACACAGTCACACACACACACACACACTCACAGTCACTCACACACAGTCACACACACAGTCACTCACACAGTCACTCACACAGTCACTCACACACACACACACACAACACACACACACACACACACACACAGTCACACACACAGTCACACACACAGTCACACACACAGTCACACACACAGTCACACACACACACAGACACACACACACAGTCACACACACAGTCACTCACACAGTCACTCACACAGTCACTCACACAGTCACTCACACACACACACACACACACACACACGTCTCCTGAGGCAATGATCCTCTCACTTTATTCAAACCAATCAGATCCTAGCGTCGAACTCAAGGTGAATCACGCACAATTGTTCACTGACCATTTGATGCAAATTACACAACAAGTCCATACTCGTGAATGGACAGAAAATATGATTATATCTACACACATTTCCAAAAATGTATTGTAGAAAATATCGTGCAAAGGATTATATATATAAATTGAAATGTACACAATTTTTGTTGACATCTGTACAAATATACAAGACAATAATTATTCGATTTTGTTGATTAATCATATTAATTTTTATTTTACTTAATAAATAAAATAAAACATGAAAATGATGATAATATTAATATTATTAAAAATACATTTAGTCAATTTCTGTACAAATATACAGATCACATTTATTAAATGTTATTGATTAATAACAGTAAACAACATTAATTTGAATAATAATGAACAAATATGAATTGTTTGTGACAAACCAGAGTCTTTTTTTACAATACCACACTAAGTTTACCACAATAACTATATGACTTTATTAATTAATAACATTACGTATTAAGTTTCAGCAATAATTGTTATTTTAATATAATAAATAATACATACCATAATTATTAAATGTATTGTATCAATACTTATTAATTATTATATTAATAAAATTATAGATATTACTTGTTTTAATTTATTTGATTAATATTAGGTACAATTTTATTTAATTAATAATTGTTAGACTAAAATAATAACTAATAAATATTAACCTAATTATATATAATATATTACTTTATTTTGATCAATAATTATTATATTAATATAGTAATTATAGATATGAATGATTACATTTTATTGGATTAATAATTAATTATTTGAGTTTCCGGTCTATTATTGTGGTACCGTGATAAAGGCACAAAACTAAATGAACTCTGATTGTCTTCCTAAGTGAGCAAAATGCTATGAATCGATGCAGATATTCAAAGATCTGACTTCTTCTCAGATCCGGGAACTCACCATCCGTTCATGGTGAAGTCTCGGTACAGCATCCGCTTCCCGAGCTCTTTTTTCGTGACCCTTCTGGGAAACTCCAAGTGCGTGAAGTCGTTTCCCAGCAGAGACGGCTGCAGGTGAGCCTGCGAGAGGAAGAACTGAGTAAATCCACAAGCGCGCAGGAACGCAAGCAAACCTCGACAGAACCGAAGGCAGATTCCTCTCACCAGGAACTGAAGTCTCTGGCGCTCCGATTCAGGAGTGAAGGAGCTGGACATGGGAATGATCTCTCCTCCACGGATGATCAGAGCCCTGAAAGTGCACGACATTCAGCGCTTACTGGAGAAGAGCTCACAGAATCATCCAGAATTCAACAGAAGAGAACGCACTGAACAGAACAGAGTGCAGTGAAATATTATTACAATTCATAATAACAGATGTCTATGTGAATATCTGTTTATTCCTGTTCAGCATCATTACTGCAGTCTTCAGCGTCACATGATCTTCAGAAATCATTCTGATCTGCTGCTCGAGAAACATTTCTGAGTATTATCAGTGTTGAAAACATTCATATTTTTGTGGAAACTGATGCATTTTATTTTTCAGGATTCACAGATGAACAGAAAGTTCAACAGAACAGCATTTATTTGAAATAGAAATCTACTGTAATAAATGTCTTTACTGTCACTTTTGAATATGAATCAATAATGCGCCCTTGCTGAATAAAAGTATTACTGACCACAAACTTTTGAACGGTAGCATATGCATTATTGCAATTATTATTAATATATGTCAGTACTGTCCAGGGTTTATGAAGGTAAATTTAAGACTTATAAAGAGCTTTTTATGACCAAATAAAGTCAATTTAAGGAAAAACAATACGTCAATATGGTATTGAATATGTAAATATATTGTATTAGTAATGCTAATTTAAAAAAACACAATTTCCAACTTTTTCATTAATTTTTACAACCAAAAAAAAAGTTAAGGCTTGAATATCTCTGCTCACAGACATTAAAATATGGAAATAACTTTTATTGTAGCTTCTGATGCAAAAAAGTTATTTTTTCCCCCAGTGCAAATGTAGAAAAATATTCTTAAATCGAGATACATTCACTTGAGAAGCAAAATTACTTAAGATAAGAAGTCTTGTTTTCTAAGAAGTTGATCAAAAAGTTATGATTGAAATGAAGTTTATGATTGAATTGAACACGTATCTTCCAGTGAGCTTAATTCAAAAGGAAATCGACTTTTCATCCCCCACTGACAGTATTTGTTTTAAACATGAACTCACTTAATATTGTTCAATTTCTCAGAAACCAAGACTTTACGTTCACTTTGCATCTCAAATAAATGCATCTTTATTTAAGGATGCTTGGATATCTGTACTGAAAAACAAAACTGCTGAGGAGGATGTTTATTTGTTGCAATGCATGCAACATTTAATGCCATTATGATTTTAAGACTTCCTGCTCTGATTTAAGACCTTTTTAGGCCTTAATTAGTGGAAGAGTGAATTAAGACTTTTTAAGACCCGCAGAAACCCTGCTATCTCTTTCATCTAGACAGAAGCTCTCTTAAATGAGAATAAATGTGGTATGTGATGTGGTTTGGTAATATTCAGTCTCACCTGCTGTCACCGGCATTGGCCACATACAGTTTTCCAAGTAAATACACCACCACTAAAGCAGTGCACCCTCCAGATATCGAGTAAACCATCCTCTCTCGAGCAATATGAGCGTCCTGAGAACACACGAGCACACAGAGAACTCATTCAAGCTCAGTAAAACCCACATGAGACTGGATTCAGTCGACATTTAAGTGTAAAGTGTATGCTCACCCAAGGCTGCATTTATTTGATTAAAAATACAGTAAAATTGTGAAATATTTTTACAATTTAAAACAACTGTTTTCTATCTGAATATATTTTTTTATGTAATTTATTCCAGCGATGCAACGCAGAATTTTAAATCAGCGCAAGCTCTGCCTGCCCTCTAGTGGCCATGTGAGTTTACTACAGTGACTGATCCAAGGACTCACCATCTCCTTAAAGGCATTCTCTATTGCTCCCACCACCAGACTCTCCTGTTTGATCTTCTTCTCCATGAAGAACCGCGGGGCCATTGTATTAGGGGACCCCGGGGCCCCGGCGGCCCCTCTGAGCGACGCGGCCCGCGACAGGCCTCGCTGGGAGCAGCCGGCAGACGGGTGGAGCTGGTGGATGGGGTTCTCCTCGCCGAGACAGGTGGGTGGCTGCAGAGACGGGTTCTGCAGGATCTCCAGCACCTCCTGCAGCTGCTCCTCGATGTGGAGGTGGAGGAACTTGGCTGCGAAAACTGCGGCTCCGGAGCCGCCGTGACCGTCAAACAGAGCCCAGTAGTGGAAGTTCTGTTCCTTCACCTCCTGCACACACACAGATTCGTGAAAACATCAACATGCACAGCGACTGTCTAGAAAAATGTGTTTTAAAAACACACGAAAGCCAGATTTTCTCAACACACTTTAAAAAAAGTGCACATTATGTTTTAATCTTTTAAAAATGCACTTATTTTGATGTGTTGATTAACATACTAAAGCACATGGAAAAGACTTCCAGAAAAGACTGCAGCACAAAAGCAGTGTTGAGTCGCTGGGGGATATTTGTAGCAATAGCCAACAATACATTGTATGGGTCACAATTATACATTTCTCTTTTATGACAAAAATCATTAGGATATTAAGTAAAGATCATGTTCCATGAAGATATTTAGTAAACTTCCTACCGTAAATATATCAAAACTTAATGTTTGATTAGTAATATGCATTGCTAAGAACTTCATTTGAACAACTTTAAAGATGATTTTCTCAATATTTAGATTTTTTTGCACCCTCAGATTCCAGATTTTCAAATATTGTCCGATCCTAACAAACCATACATCAATGGAAAGATTATTCAGATTATTCAGATGATGCATAACTCTCAATTTCAAAAAAATTTACCCTTATGACTGGTTTTGTGCTCCAGGGTCACATTTGTTAACATTTAAACTTAATATATTTTAAGTTTACCAATTTGCAACTTATTACTTGCAAATATTACTAAATGCACAACATACAAGTTTGAATAGAAATGGCATTAAAGTATATTTTAGTTTACCATAAATGCACGTTGATCAGTACTTTAACCATATTTCAAAAACAATTATAAAACTACACTGAAGTGGTTCAAGAAAACGCTCTAAAGTTCAACTAACTGCATTCAATATAAATGTAAACATTTTCACTTTTTAAGTGCAATGTTTAATTTAACATGCAATTAAACTGTACACTTAATGTATATTCTTTTAAAGTGTATTATTTGCTTAATAAGTCGTCTTTTTAAAAGTATGCCAAAGTGTACTTGTTTTTCACAAAGGTTCGACTCACATTTATGCATATCATTCTAGCAAAAACTATTTTCAATTCTGTTTTTTTTTTTCAATTTATGTCTTTCTGTTAACATTGACATAAGCCAAGAAAAATAATAATGACCTGTAATATCCCAGCCTATGTTTCTTGATAAATGTAAAGCCTCACATTATTTCCTGATGAACCTATGAAAACATAGATTAAACAGCTTGATTCATACGGATTTGCCTTGACCTTTTTGGATCGTCTAAGTTTTGGACTTTCAACCTCGCAGGTTTCATTAAAAATATACTACATTTGCATTTTGAAGATTAACTAAAGTCTCATGGGTTTGGAATAGGGCTGCACAATATATTTATAATTAAACATATCAGGATATGGCTTAGTGTGAGCGTCAGGCTGCGATTTAAATCAATATATGCATGAAGCTCAGCATTTACACGTATGGTTTATGATACAGTTTGATTTCAGTTGCGCTTCATTCTGAAACTTTCATTCGCCAGCAACCCATCAAAAAATGATGGATGGATGGATGGATAAAAGGGATGGATAGATAGCTAAAAAGGGATGGATGGATGGATGGATGGAAAGTGATAGATAGATAGATAGATAGATAGATAGATAGAATGCGAAGGAAGGAAGAACTGAAGCTTGAATTTTCAGCTTCATCATCATCACACACTGATCAAACTCCCGCATTTGCTGCTTGGATATTTCAAACAAATCTTTTGAGTTGTGAATGCTCATTTAAAATGCATAATGTGATTAAAATGCAAAACAGTAGGAGTCTTTTTGTCTTTTGCGGTTTCATCTAGTTGGAATGTGTGCCAGTATTTTTTGTCAGAAACATAGTTTGAATCAGACTGATTCAGTCACAACAGACTCTCTGAATCACAAGTCATTTTACCATTTTGTTTGATTTCAAATTCATAAATACTGTTATAGTTTAGCATATGAGATCCAATTGTAAGTTTGAATCATCCCAGAACCATCAACTTTTATCAGTATTATTTCCCCAAGCAAATTCTAAATTAGGAACAACATCTTTTTGTTTATGTACAAGATAAAGATGCAGATTTGTGTTTCCCATGATTATGTACATGTCAGCCTTGATTTTAATAAATGTGGATCTGCCATGCAATTGATCTTTATGTAATACAGCGGCATCATGTGTATGTAACACATCCCATATTAATTCATATGTATGCTCTAAGGCAAATACCTTAATAACCCTGGGTTGCTTTCTCAAGATGAAATGATAGTGAAGCTGTTTTACGCAAACACATGTGTGCTTTCTTGCATGGCTGGGCATCTGAATGCATCTGACAGATAGTAAGAGTGTGTGCCCACCCTAAGGGTGTGAAACCTGTGCACTGAGCCCCAACAGGTCATTCACACACCGTAGGGCAAAAAGACACCCTGACCCATTTCCATCAGCTCTCATCAGATCTAACAGCACCATGCTACAACTTTCCATATATTCCTTCCTCTCTCTCCATGTCTGTACGATCCCTTATTTCTGGCTCAGCCATCGGCGGTGAACTGAGAGGTGAGAAAAGATTTAATCGCTCAAAGAGTGTTGTACTCCCCCCCCCCTTTCTCTCTCTTGTTATTTTGTGTTTCTCTCCAAAGCGTAAAGTCTGAACACGGTGCGGGAAAACAAAAGTGTGGTTAATGAGGGTGCTAAACACAACACACATGTAGCTATTGCAGCAGTCTCCTGACAGTGTCACAGATGAAAGCAAGAGGAAGTAGCTGTGAGAGAGAGAGAGATGGAAAACAACGTTACATCGAGATCAAACCCCGCTGATGAGATTCCTGTGATGTTCAGAAAAAACACATGGTACAATACATTTAGGTAGAACAACATATTTAGGTAAAACAATGCTTCCGTTTAACTCAGATCACCTAGAATTGGTACATGGCTGGCTATTCATGTCTTTGTGTTTTCTTCACTTAAATGAGCTGTAAGCATATGAATAATTTATACCGTCTAACTAAAATAAGTGTTTACTTGATTTGCAGGTATATTTTATAATTTTTTTTTTGGGATGTCAAAGAGATGATGCCCAATTTATGGCATGTAACTCTGAGGTTAATGGAGTTTGATGAGGCCTGTTCTCAAGAAACAGACAAACTCACTACTTAACAGACAACTACTGTCAAGTGTGCGATCGTCTAATTTAAGCTCACTATCAGATTTAAAATGTTTTTTTTAATTTTGTATAATTTACAACTTACTTCCTTTGAGTCAAATTTGATTTCTTGTGGAAAATGAACGTGGATGGATGGATAGATACTGTAGATGGATCGATAGATAGATGGAAATTAGATAAAACGATGGATAGATACTATAGACTGATGGAAACTATAAATAGAAGGATGGATAGATACTGTAGATGGATGGATGGTTAAACAGATACTGTAGACGAATAGATGGATAGATACTGTAGATGCATGGATGGACTGGTAGATGGATAGATACTGTATCGATAGAAGGATACTGTAGATAGATAGGTGGATGAATAGATACTATAGATGGATGGATGGATGGATGGATGGATGGATGGATGGATGGATGGATGGATGGATGGATGGATGGATGGATGGATGGATGGATAGATAGATAGATAGATAGATAGATAGATAGATAGATAGATAGACAGACCCTTTTCACATTTCCGGGTTTCTCAGCAGTGGAAGTGGTCATATTCGGGTTAACTTGAAGAGCAGTGAATGGGAGAGTACCACAAATATATGTTTTGCTTTCCCAGTTGCTCAAATAGCAAAAGAAAAACTCCACGATAGTGTTTTCATGACTTTCAATAAAAGGAAAAAAATTGAGAGAGACTGATAACGGCAGTCAGAAGAGAGAACGATGTCAAGTTTACCGTCCCTCCCACAGACGCTGCATTAGAAACACCCTCGCATCAGCGTTAACTGTTTTTTTTGTAATTTGATGCAAAGGTGATATAACACAAAGAATAGTGTTATAAATGTACATATATTTTTTTAAAATACAAATATGAAAAACTTTCGAGGCTTTACGATGCTGATGACCGTTAAACGCGTCAACACAGTCTTGTGAAAAGGGTCCATGGACATGTCTGAAAACACATGAATAAGAGCCGCGGCAGACGCCTCACTGTGCTGTCGATGCACTCCAGGACGTCTGCGCTGGGCAGCGAGGAGCGTCTCCTGGTGGGCGTGTAGCTGGGGCTGGATGGGTCTGCGGGTCTTTTCCTGAGCTCTACCACCTCACAGCACGCCTGGTCCTCATTTAGGGCACTTTTACCTGCATTGATCACCCTGCAGAGACACAGAAGATCATCACAGTTTCGTCATGAACACAGCCTCTACATATCTGCAGGAAGTCAGCTTTAACCCAAAGAGACTCGAGGGCTGAAAACTTGGCACAAAGATGATGGAAGAGTTTGTCTTGCTCAACCTTCATCATCAAAGCTTTTCGAGCTCCTAAACGCTTCTGGATGATGCACGACTGCCATAATCTCCTAAGAGGAGTCACAGCGTGAGACTAAAGAGCATCACAACAGGGTTTCCACGGAAACCCATTCCAGCATCATCATTTGTTAATGAGGATCTAATGGGAGTCCTGAGAGGAGACACGTGTCATTCTGCAGGGACATTTGTGACGTCTCACTCGTGCTGCTGGAAATGCTTCTTCATATGTAGAAAATGCGCCTGCTGGATTTAATGAACAACATTTCTCACAACCAATCAGATTTAAGCGGCAGGACGGATGGACGGACGGACAGATAGATATAGACAGACAGACAGACAGACAGACAGACAGATAGCGACAGACAGACAGACAGACAGATAGACAGATAGATAGATAGATAGATAGATAGATAGATAGATAGATAGATAGATAGATAGATAGATAGATAGATAGATAGATAGATAGATAGATAGATAGATAGATAGATAGATAGGAGACAGACCGACAGATAGCTTTAGCTCTGATCACAGTTAAACGCAGAGGTCAAAAGTCTTTGGCGCTGGTTCTGTTGGAGGTCATTTGTTCTGGTTAATCCTCCACTGCTGCAGTTAAACATCAACATCAGTGAACAGTAACGGCTTGAGAGCGCAGGAGCCGCAGGACAGTGTGACCCGAGACGAGGCTGGCCACGTGAGCTGCTTCCCTGTGAATCTCACTTCTCCACACCAACACCAACACCGGGGAGGGAAGTGAGTCGATCACACTTCAACATCCTCATATCAGAGAAGTAAAGCTCAAATGTTTGAGACTGAACTGTACAGAGACTGTACTGGACAGAATTACATTTAAAAGGAGATTTCCCAGCTGCAGTGCTGTTACAAACACTAAAACAAGTAAACTAGGCTATTAAAAATAATTTTCGGTAATTTAAATACTTAAAAGCCGAAATAAAACATAAGACTTAGATGAAGCACTTTCATTTAAAACTGAAATTGCTAAAACAGAAATTAAAAAGCTAAATGAACAAAAGCGCATAACAACATTGCTAACGCTTCAACTAAAATTAAAATGCATATTGAAAAACATAAAAGCTAATACAAAATATGAATACAATAGTAAATAAATAATGTGGCTCATTATTCTCTATCCTAGTGCTATTTAAGTCATTCAGAGTTTGGGAATGATTCAAAGCAGCAGTATCCGTGGCGTATATCATGGCTCACACACACACACACACACACACACACAAGATTTCCCAGCTGCAGTGCTGTTACAAACACTAAAACAAGTAAACTAGGCTATTAAAAATAATTTTCGGTAATTTAAATACTTAAAAGCCGAAATAAAACATAAGACTTAGATGAAGCACTTTCATTTAAAACTGAAATTGCTAAAACAGAAATTAAAAAGCTAAATGAACAAAAGCGCATAACAACATTGCTAACGCTTCAACTAAAATTAAAATGCATATTGAAAAACATAAAAGCTAATACAAAATATGAATACAATAGTAAATAAATAATGTGGCTCATTATTCTCTATCCTAGTGCTATTTAAGTCATTCAGAGTTTGGGAATGATTCAAAGCAGCAGTATCCCTGGCGTATATCATGGCTCACACACACACACACACACACACACAAGACTTGGATTTTGATGGCACATGGCTCACACACACACACACACACACACACACACACACACATACACAAGACTTGGATTTTGATGGTAAACATATCATAAATGCATGAAACTCAACCTGGGCTGTCTGAAATCTGATTTCATAACCATTATCCAATGCAGCAACTGCTGTAGGTCTACAACTAGAGAGCTTCGCATGAATTAGCTGATGATATACTGCGCAAAACGCGCGCATGCGCCCTGCTAACCCTGCATGGAAATAAAGTATGGATGTGTGTCGTGGATCTTTCATGTTCTGCTCCTCATGTGTTTAGCATCATGAAGAACGCAAGCATCCCGCAGCATCCGCGTACTGAGATCAGCGCGCGTTGGCCGGCGCGTCGCTACTCACTCCGCGTATCCGGCGGCCCAGGGCAGCTTCATCTCCTTGAGGATGAGGATGGGTCTGGAGATGTGATCCGCGGAGCACTCCACCTCGTCCGGTGACAGCGCGAGGAAATCCGGCCTGCTGTACGGGAACCGGAGCGGCAGATCGGGATGGTTCTCGTGCGCGCTGGAACCCGAAGCCATGATGCCGCCGATGATGCTGGAGACCGCGGACCGCACGCGTGTTATCATCATGATGATGGTGATGGTGTGTGTGTGTGTGTGTGTGTGTGTGTGTGGTCACGGACTGCGCAGTGAACGCACCTTCAGCACGGCGGAAATGAACATCACCACGTGACAGTCCTGTCGCGGGTCATTGGGTCACTTCGGTGACTTTGACCCTCATACTGTTCTCATTTATTTCACTTCCTTGCTGTCTGCGTAAAAAAACCTTTACTGTCCATGAGTACCACCTGATACCATCACTGTATATGCATGCATAAATAAATAGTCACATTTTATTTTACAGTGTCCTTGTTACACATATTATTACAGTAAATTATGCATGATAACTTCACGAAACTAACCCTAAACCAAAATTATAACCCTATTAATAAATATAGGCTGTTAAGTAATATTATTATGTGCTTAAATATATAATTACCATGACAGGGTCACCTTAAAATAAAGTGTACCCAATAAAAATAGGCATAAAAAACATTTTTAATAATATCAGCTCATCGATCACCAAAACAAAGCACATTACTAAATATAGTATACTTTAAATAAATATTGTAAGTGTTATGTAATAAGGACACATTGAAATAAAGCATAACCATTTAATCAGTTCATATCAGTTCAACAATCAAGAAAAAACATCATTATTAAATAGATAAACAACTATCTTATGTGCTAAATAACAGTTGAGTTAGTGTTTATATTATAACAATATTTAGCATTTAATAAATATAATTAGAAAGTTGTTTTGTTTGTTTTTTTGTTCTAACATGCTGCCAGTGTTCAGCACGTCCATATCAGGATATAACAAGTGCATTTAATCGTGTGTATTCAGTACTGTACTGTTTAAACAACATCACACTCAACAACTGTTTGAATAATCCCAGGAGGATTATACGATGTGTGCACAATCACTAGAAATATATGCCAACTGTTAAAGCGGTTATAACATGAACCACAAATCAGCATGTCATCCATTTCAACAGCCAAAGCAATACAGAAACTTAAATAGCTCACCAGATAAAAATGTTATCGCTGTTTACTCCCCCACATGTTGTTCAATCAAATTAGGAGCACCTTCTGATCAATAACAAAAATTAACCTTCACATTATAAATTGATATTTAACTCCTTAAAGTGATTTGCAGGGCCACCTTTTGTAATGGCATTAAAAAAAAAATCTATTTTTTTTTATATGAAAACAATACATCGAATTAGAGTAATAAGACATAATCAGCAAGAACAAGTTACCAATCAAATTAAATCAGTATCAACAAAAAGTGGCATTGATTTAAGTATATTTACAGACTGTTTAACAAGGCTCAGAGGCGTTTGCATGAATGCATTTAAATTCATAATAACAATGTTATGAGATTAAAGTATTAATATAGCAATATTAAATGATTTAAATAACTGAAATGATAAACTGAAAAATAAAACCGAAAACTAAAACCGCCAGCAGGTGGCGGCAAGTCACTGATTTAATCACTGAATCATTCGTTCAATCGATTAGTTCAAACGGCTGATTCATTCAGGAACGAAGCAAGCGACTGCCTTTAAGAACGGGGGATTGAATCGCTGACTCACTCGATTCGTTCAAAATCACATCATGCATTCATAAACAAAACGTAGACAAAACGTAGACATGCGAGCTAGATGACAGAGTTTATATAAAAGCCCGGATCATTTCAGGCATGTTAACACAGCTTTATTTTCTGTGATCGCTTTTTGATAAAGTAAAATGTTCAGATTTTCGGCAAAAAATCACGGTTCATTCCATATAATTTACCTGTAGCTTACACGATCTGTTTTGCGAGGAGCAGGACGCGCACGGATAAAGCAGCAGGCAAAGTAGTCTGCGTTCACACTGCGAGCCTTAGTGCTCAATTCCGAATTTTGCTCAGATTTTGTTGTATAGCCGTTCACATTGTTGTTTTAAATGTGGCCAATATCAGATTCCAGTGTGAACAGATCACGGTTCTGAACTGACCTGCATGCACTAAAGAACAATACGAACAGGGTTGCCAGGTTTTCACAACAAAATCCACACACACAAATAATAATAATAATAATAAATAAAGTTGTCACTGTAACACTTATGAGTTCCGACACTTCAGTGTACTTCCACTGACTACCTTTCGAAACTGTCTTGATAACTTTGGGTATGTAAAATCTTTGAGCACAGAATCGTGATAAATCACGGTTCATTCCATATAATTTACCTGTAGCTTACACGATCTGTTTTGCGAGGAGCAGGACGCGCACCGATAAAGCAGCAGGCAAAGTAGTCTGCGTTCACACTGCGAGCCTTAGTGCTCAATTCCGAATTTTGCTCAGATTTTTTTGTATAGGCGTTCACATTGTTGTTTTAAAATGTGGCCAATATCAGATTCCAGTGTGAACAGATCACGGTTCTGAACTGACCTGCATGCGCTAAAGAACAATACGAACAGGGTTGCCAGGTTTTCACAACAAAATCCACACACACAAATAATAATAATAATAAATAAAGTTGTCACTGTAACACTTATGAGTTCCCGACACTTCAGTGTACTTCCACTGACTACCTTTCGAAACTGTCTTGATAACTTTGGGTATGTAAAATCTTTGAGCACAGAATCGTGACGAGTGTTGATCTAAAAGTCGCATGAATTCCGACACGACCTGTTCAACACTGCGGTCGCATTCCAAAACATCTGACCTGCATCGGATTTAGTACCACACATGGAAGTGGCACAAATCGGAATTGAAAAGATCAGATTCTATGTGGTTTGTGCTGTTCACACTGTCCTGAGAAAAACAGATCCGAGTCACATGTGAGCACAAAAAATCAGATTGCCCCCCTCATAATGGCCACTAGATGTCAGTGTTTCCTAACAAGAAATGGCCAACAGTCTCTATTCAACATCTGGACTGGATCTCGTTCTCTACAGAGAATGTGAAAGGTTTGACACGGGTCAGCCTGCTTTCCTCGTCAGGATCACTGTAGGTTAATCCAGTGCCTGATTCTGCTTTCAGCAAACACCCTCAGGTACTGTAGCAGCAGCAGCGGGGCCGCTGGGTAGATTTATGAGCTCAGTGGTGCCAAACACACGTGCTGCCTCTCAATACTGATCTTATGGATGGTCTGAGAGTAAGATTTAGGATTCGGTTTGGGTCATTTGTTCGTTTTATTGCTTTCTGGCATGCTCTGCCATGTCTGATGTGGAAAGTGTGTTGTCCCGCTGAGGCGGTGTGTATTTACCGCTGCCTGGCTGTTTACGAGGGGAATCTGTATTATTCTTTCTGCCCGTTTTGGACGGATTACTGTCGATTAAAAAGAGACAAATCGTGGTAATCTGTCAGAAATTCATCTCACGGATTAAAGCTCTGCTGCTGAACTGATTGGGACTCTACATAGACTCTACACAGTGTGCTCCTCACTCAAAACTCAGTTTACTGTATTCATTTCAGGGGTTTTTTTATGTTAGCATTCTGCGTTATGTGTGATAACAAATATTTAAGATATATCAAAAACGGTGCGGTACTATGATTTTGAACATTTACAATACCCTAGTATTCTTTGAAATACCTTACCATATAAATATCACGGTAGGCCTACATGAATATGCAAACCATTCTGGACTATGTTGTTTAAAGTACCCGCGTTAAAAACAATGTGCATTCCCTTTTATATTGTAACATATTTCAATATAAATCTAAATATGCCAACAGACACAAAATCTGTGATATTCAACTTAATACAATGTCATAGATCACTAAATTAGATCAATTAACCTCATAACTTTGTTGACATTCAGATGAAAAAAGAGTGTTGCCATTCTTCAAATGTGTTTGTGCCATTTATGGTTTTAAAAAAAAACATTTACCCTATATATCAAACTACTTTACTGTCTGACACCATCACTGCGTATAGTTTGTAAGGAACACACAATCCACATTCTGCTTGACGCAGAGGAAAATCAGACCTGCTCACGCAGGAATAGCGTGACTTCAGATTTTGGAATGCTCTGGAGGGACAATAAATATATCCTACAAAATCTCACCATCATTTATATGATGTAACCATCATCTGGCTGTTCACACAGTAAAAAAAAAATCCTTAATTCTTCCCAGATGGGTCTCAACCAAGAGAACATGGTGCCAGACTGATCCGAGACCAGCGTCACTCTACCAGATCCCCTGAGACCTGATCTGAGATCAGGACAACTTTCATCAATAACACGCGAGACATCAGGTCAGTGAGCAGAAGAACTCGAGTCCATCTCAAAGAGTGACATTCTCAAGTGTAATTGGATTTGAAATGTCAGGCAGCCTCGTCTCTGGAAACCTGTGTGTTGTTTAGTGATGCTTTAATATGTTTGATGTGCTGCTCACAGACCTGAATGCCAATGACGTCACTGCCAGTGTATTAAGACACAGATTTGAAAAGATACTCGAGGGCAAATGTTATTAGAACAACAAAAAAGAAATGTTTAAATATGATGGTTTACAGTCGCACCAATGAGTTGCATGCACTGGTGATGTGGTTTATTTAATTGGCTGCTTTGCTGTATAAAAGATGCAAACTGACCTGTTTGTGCACTTTGTAGGGGACAATTACTGCTGGAAATATCAATAGAAAATACCTACAAATCTCCCATTTAAATAGACATTAATTTACCTCTTTCTGTGAGTGGTAACAGTGTCACGTCTATGACGCGGAACAACAACGCTGGCATTTGTGAAAGTACTTTTTATGCTGAAAAGAATTACTTCATTTAGGTTTCTCCGCACAACCCTATATCTCATGCTGAAGCGTGTCAACTCTTTAGTGAATTTGAGTGATTGGCTTTGTATTTATTATTCCGAATTATTCCATAGAGCGCTGACCAGGAACATTCAGGGAACGTTCTCAGATCTTCGGTTTACGTTCTGGCAATGTTACACTCTAAAAAATGCTGGGTTAAATGCAACCCAGTGCTGGGTAAAATAGGGACAAACCCAGCAATTGGGCTATTTTGACCCAGCGGTTGGGTTACTACCCAGAAGGAACATTTAACCCAACCACAGGGTCAAAACTTGAACTTGAATTGCTGGGTTTGTCCCTATTTTACCCAGCACTGGGTTGCATTTAACCCAGCATTTGTTAGAGTGTATAAACAAATGTTCTTCCAGTAATGTTAATAGAACATTCATTCAAAGGTACACTCTAAAAAATGCTGGGTTGTTTCAACCCAACTTTGGGTCAAATATAGACTAACCCAGCTGTTGGGTTAGATTTTTTAATAAA